ACAATGCGTCCAGACTTGCTAAATTTCTAGTTTAGCGGCTAATATTTTCAGGGACGTACGCGACAGAATTTTATTGTGGTGAACTGATATTGGTTTGTTTATTTACTGGTCAATAATATCGTAAGATCGAAAAAAACTGCGTCCAGTTGGCTTAGACATGACGATTGATGACATTCCCCATATAATTTTCAATATAGAATGACAGCGATCTTCATTTCATAGCCATCGCTGACGCCATTTTTTTCGATCGTATGGTTCTTATATTAATGGAGTAGAGCCAAGAGCAGACTTGTCAAGTAATTAAGTTGTATAGAGATCATACAGTGTTATGGGATATCCGTAGTCCCTCATTTAAAGCGAAATAAAAAAAGCATGATGCATGGTTAAAAATTGCAAGAAGTATGTATTTGGGAAAAGAAAAAGTTTAGAAAAAATGCGTTATCCGAGGCGTTATCTAATAGGTCAGTTCCAGAGGGAACAAAAGAAATGCAACTCAGGTACTGGTTTAGATGAAGTGGATAATTCAAAATGGTTTGCTTTTAAGTTATTAATAATGTTTTTAAAAGACAGAAACACACCACGAGAACAGCCGAGGCAGGTATTGAAAAGAAGCTAATTGAGTTCAACTATATCTAGATCTTGCGGACTCAAAACCGTTTTTTTCTCGACTTTCTTTCTCTTTCTTCAAAAGTAATTACGCACGCCGCTGCTGCGAGCAGAACCTCTTTTTCGTCAAAACGATTCATAATTACGAAAACTATAATGTGGACGGCTCCCGGTTTTTTAACATGTTATATGTAGCTTGTTAAATAGCAATTTTATATAATATGTTACTAAATGTGGACCCTCCTTAAGACTTCGCTGTCCGTCCGTCCGTCTGTCACAAAGGTCTATCTTATGAACCGTTATAGCTAGACAGTTGAAATTTTCACAGATAATGTATCTATGTTGCCGCTATAAGAACAAATACTAAAAACAGAATTAAATAAATGTTTATAAATAAAAAAAGTACTTTCACTAAACATTATCTTCTAAGTTAGAATTTTACATAGAATCTTTCAAGTCCTCGGTGGCCACGTGGTGAAAGCGTTAAGGACTTTACGCTGCTATGACGTTGGAGCCGTAGTAAGGCAGGTTCGAATCGTAGTCAAGGCGACTATTTTTAATCGTTTTTTTTTAATTTTTACATATTTATTACTGATTAGTACAATTTTTAGTAATGTGTTTCTTCCTTTTTTAAATTATGTACTTATACGCGCATTCAAAATTTCAGCTAAACCGGAAGAAAAGTTTATAATAATATAGTGTCTAATGTGGTATAGATAATGAATGGTACGGAACCCTTCGTGCGCGAGTCCGACTCGCACTTGACCAATTTTTTAAGGTTTTTGTTTAAGGTTTTTAAGTCTGCGTATGCTGAACACGGTGTTCCGGAAAAACTAATTAATATAATCAAGGAACTCTACAGAAACACAGAATGCAATGTGCTGCACAACGGTAGAACAAGCGACAGTTTTAACTTAGGGACAGGAGTAAAGCAGGGTTGCACATTATCGCCGCTTTTATTTAATATCGTGCTCGACAGCGTTTTGACTAAAGCCACAGCAAACATTAGGGGAGTACAATAGACTCTGACATCGCATCTGACGGATCTTGATTATGCTGACGATAATCTGTCTCACAACGCAATCCTTCAAAGACATGGAAATGATGCTCAGACGTCTAAAAAACAGAAGCAGACAAAGTAGGATTAAGCATAAACATCGACGAAACAAAGTCAATGCGCATTAACACAAACAACACTCCATTCAATGTAGGAATCAAACATGTCGAGAATGTAACAGAGTTTACTTACCTGGGAAGTATTTTAACAGCAAACGGTGGCGCAGACGCGGATATTGTCAGCAGGATCAGGAAGACGCAGCGAGTCTTTGGCCAACTAAAATCAGTTTGGACCTCCCGTCAACTCTCCATACAAACAAAATTAAGAATATTCAATTCCAACGTCATACCAGTTTTATTATATGGCTGCGAGACATGGAGAGTGACAAAAATATCCATCAACCGTCCAAAGGTGTTTATCAATCGCTGCTTGCGGAAAATACTTAAAATCTTTTGGCTAGACACTATACGTAACACCGACCTGCTTCATCTTACAAACCAACAAGAAGTAGGCATTGAAATCCGCAAAAGAAAATGGGGTTGGATAGATCACACTTTGCGGAAACCTGATAGTAATATAGCGAGATCAGCATTGGAGTGGAATCCCCAAGGAAAAAGAAAGCAAGGACGACCTGCTCAAACATGGAGACGTTCCATACTGGATGAGCTTCAACAAGTAGGGTCAACACGGAAGGAAGCAAAAACAACTGCCAAAAACAGAACCCGATGGAAAGCTTTCACTGAAGCCCTTTGCTTCGCGTAGGAGATATAGGATCCTATATATGCTGAACACACTAGCCAAATATAAACAGTTTTGGGAAAGCCGTTTTTTAACTAATATAAGAAAAGCTGCATTTAATATCTGACAAACGAATCTAAAACAGCGGAATGCGGGCCAAAAAAGTCGATGTTGTCACGTTTAATTATAGAAAAGCAAAGTTGCTCGATATTACCTATAAATTGAATATATTTTAGTTCATTTCAGCATACATAATTATATATATGCTAATATGTTGACGTAGTTCTTATTGTAATAATGTATATTTATCTAATTAACTGATTTCGTTCATTCTGCCTATTATAAAAGGTAAAGTATTTCCTTAAGATAAGGTCCGCTTAGGGTAAGCTGGCAACGCTGACAAAATTCATCATGGCATCCCGGATTCAACCAGTCTGATTGGTCGAGATTCTCGCACGTCTTGTCGCCATTACCCCCAACTTTATGCCCCTCTCTAGGAATAGTAGAAACAGTCACTACTATTGAAAAATCCAGTGGCGGTGTTATTGTATTGTCTTTTATATCTTTAACTTGATTTGTGTTTATTGTAATTAGTACACGCGTTTTAACAAATATTACTATATCTGGCAAATGATTAAACAAAATGTAGGTACATTTAAAGTAAAATAATATTATAAACTTTACTGGAAAATATTATAAAAATTCCTGATATATTTTTATGAAACCCCGCACGCTCCCCTTGCGGGGTTTCATAAAAATTGCGATCCCCTTGCCGTTGCCCCGTTGTTTCAGATCCGTTTGTCAGACTGTATTTTTAAATTAAAACTGAACAGGTAACAATGCAAGAACAGGGAAATACCAACATACCTTAAGTTGTCAACTTAAGGACAATTATACTAGATCCAATTTTAAAGTGTTTTATTTTTAATTGAAAATGTGAAAATTAATAATATAATTATTAATTTTATTATTAATAATATATTTATTAATTACAAATGTTTCATTCTATTGAAAATGTCATTTTTTATTAAATGAAGTAAAAAACAACGAAGGTACAGTTTAAAAATTAAAAGTTGTTCCGGTGAAACAAGAAATGATCAAAAATAATTTAATGCCGTCAATCAATCCCGATTTATATCATAATTTTTTTTATAACTCCGTTTTTTATTTGAAACTTGCATACTAAACTCCGTTTTTTATTTGAAAAAAATAAAAAAATTATAGCGGTAAGCCACTATTGTAAAACACACGGTATATAAAAAAAGCAAGGTTTGTTAGAGTATTGCTGAGACCAAGACCGAGACTACTTAGTATACTGCAAGCCCAAGAGGATCTTGGTTTTGGTCTTATATTTGATTATCACTAAACGTGTATAGTCCGAGGTGTTTTCCCTATTAGATAATCATAAAAGGAATCGGTTCCTGTTAAGGTTTACATATTGCTCGTACTATATAGGGTGTCCTAATATTCCGTGGACATAGAACTACTACATATTTTTGGAATAGAAATAAAGACACAATTTACCTATATACAAAAGTGCTTCGTTTGTCCGTTAGAGCGCATTTTTAACAAAAATAAGTACATTTTAATATAAGGTGACTTCCAAAAAATGTTTTTGTTACATCAAGCTATGGAGGCGAATAAAATATGTTATGAACTAATGCTGAAAGTACACACTCGCCGAGGCGACCCGAGGCGCGACCAATAACCATGTACTCGCCGTTAATTTTTTGTCGCGCCTCGGGGCGCCTCGGCGAATGTGTACTTTCAGCATAATAATCTGGTTGGTAAAAATATGGAATTTTATGTTAGTACCACAAATTATATTTGACAATAAGCTTCATAAAAAGCTTAAAATAAGAATAAATTTTAAATTAATTAAAGTTCGGGTTTATTTTTTATTGATGCCCTCTAACGGAGAAACCAAACCAAACAAAACACTTTTGTATAAAGATAAATTATGTGCAATTAACTTATTTTGATTCAAAAAATACGTACTTGTTCTATGTCCACGGAACATTGGAACTCCCTGTATATTTTTTATATGTGCTCTGGAAAAATAAATTTTCCAAAAATATTTTTCACAAAAACTATGCGATGTGGCGTTTTTTTACAAGAGACAAAAAATGTAGTAAATACTAGAGGGACCATTTTACGAAAAGAAAATCTGTTGTCGATGGAGTTGAAAAATATTTATACTAAAATTAATGGAGGGGTGAGGGTAGTTGTCACTCTTCCCGGGCTTTTTCTTGAATTTTATGAAAGTCAAATGTTAAAGCACTTAGCAAAACATAGGCACCCGTAACCTACGTAGTAGTTCTATGTATACGAAATATTGAGACACCCTGTATAAATACCAAATATCTAGAAGTTATTACCATAATCAAATTATTTATTAATAAAATATTTGTTTGATTAACAATAAATCATTATATCCTATGAATTTCGTATTAAACAAAAACGTAGTATGAATTTTAGGACCAAAATGTTCGTCTAAGTAATAATCACTACTAGCTTTCCAAGTCATTTCCATAACACCGCCATATCTTAAACTTTCTTTTTCCCTTACAATAAACAGTGAAGTAATTAAATCACTTACCTGAAACTCGAAATCTTTATAAACGTCTAAAGTGGATATGTCCACATCGGCTGAAACCAATCGAGGACATTTTTCCAAATCCTTCCCGTGAGTGACCTGGTGCACCAATCCAGTGGCTGTAAGAAACTGCTGTTGTCCGTTTCTTTCCTTAGCCGTTATTTCTTGGGGAACAACGGAATTGTTGTTTCTTTGGACATCGGACGTATAACTAAAAATAAGAAGTAATAAATGTTAGTAACATCTTAGTTAAGAATAATTATTTTTTAATAGATTTTTCAATCGTTAACACCACATTAAGACGATATTTACTATTGAAAAATGCCACAAAATCATGTATTTGTTGCTGACTCCGAGTATCAGGCTTCCCGTAAAGTCACCTAGTTAGGTGCTAGATGTGTGTGCAAAAAACTGACGACTTAACCCTAAAATTACTTTTTTTGAAACAGAACACATTTTATGTCGGTGCGACAGCCTGACAAATGCGCAGTTCTCTGTAATAGACAATGACAAGCCATTGACAGAGAGGGTTCAGTCTCCTATGCTGCAGATCTGACAATACATCTGAAGAGGTAGTGTGTCAGGCCGATAACAATCTCGAAGAATCTATCTAAATCTGTTTCAGCGACGAACAAGACCCAGCTTTTCTAACAAGGTAACCTAATATCAATCCCATAGTCCTTTTTAAGAAGCATCCTGTATACCTTTATACAGGATGTTCCTTAATGACATGCTAATATTTAAAGGCGTGATTCTTGGACCTATTCTAAGAGAAAAGCTCGATGTGATTGTACGTCTTAAACATCTTAATTTCTGAGATACAGGATGGTAAAATTTTCTATTTTTTTTTTCACAATAACTCTAATTTTATTATACAGGGTGGTCCGAACTGTATTCCGGAAACTTTGGCACCATAATTTGCAGACAAAAATAAGTAAAATAGTTCGTATACACGGCATGCACACCCGCTATAATAATAAATTAGTAATACCAAAACACTCCACTGCATTATTCCAAAGGTCATTTAGCTACAACGGCGCTAAACTGTTCAATTCGTTACCAGATACTGTAACAAATTCGCCAAGTATAATTAGTTTTAAATATAAATTAAAGGAAGTACTATTTAAAAAATACAATACATTCTTTTTAAGAAATGGGAGAATCTATTTGCATATAGATGGATAAATATTTTGTTTATATCTTTATACATATTTCCTGCGACGACGGTTAGATGGAGTAGCTATGCTAGATCTCGCCGTCTAAAAATTTATGTAATCATTATTTGTTATTATAACTGACTTAAATAAAGACATTTATTATTATTATTATTATTATTAATGGTTCTCGAGGTATTTAGAATAAAAAAGTATTAATACCTTCATTATTGATATAAATTAAACATGTTGACTAAATAGTTATTAGACTGATATCATAAATTTGAAATGTTTTTGTGCCAAAAGTTCAACAGAAATTGTTTTATCATCATTTTTTCGAAAAAAAAAATAAAAAGTTCCCAAATTTATCATTTCAGTCAAATAACTATCTACTCAACATGTTTATTAGCCGACCATACCAACAGGTATGGCATGCTATTAGGATCGGTAAAAAAAAGTTTTTTGTTTCACTCAAAATGAGTTATTTGGGTCTTGAGGGTTAGTATAAATGACCTAAATACAAAATATTTTCATGGTGTCTATCTGTCCGTCTGTAACACGATAACTCAAAAACCGCTAAACCGATTTTAAACAAATTGGCACAAAAATACTGTGGCGCCGAGAATCTGGCCATTAGTTTTTGGTGGGGGTGGGGGGCTGGTAAGGAGGTATGGGAGGAGGTTATAAATTTTAAAAAATCGTAACTCCAAAATTACAGTAGCTAGCGAAACGCGGTTTTCAATTTTAGATTAGGAATAATATTTGCAACAAAATTTGTAATAACATCAAAATCAGTCAAAGTCGCAGCTTTTGAGATATTCCGTGTTTCCGTAGTCCGTTTTTGAGAAAATCCGTGTGGAGAACTCCAAACTCCCATCGGACGCAACCCCTGGTGGCGGATAGGGGAAATAACCGCGTATCAAAATTGGAAAAATTCCTTTAAGTTGAAACTAAAAGAACTGCCTACCAACTTTTTATTAACATATTTTAGTACGGGCGGGTATACGTGCCTCCCGGCGCCAATTTTTTTTGGTCAATAATGACATGTATTGACTATTTCCTTTCTAAATATCTTTAGAACGGTTGCTCGTAGCAATTTTTACCAAGAAAATTTTTTTACGTAAAAAATCACGAAAATATATATTATTTCACTGAGTAGTTTTATACAGGTACGGACGAAAAGTTATTACTCTTCAAAACAGTTAAAACACATGTAAGTCAAAAAACTTCCAAACACCAATTTTCATCCAAATATTGACCTTACTTCAGAAATTATTTGGAAAAAATCGAAATAAAAAAGAAACTTCTACACCCTGTATCTCCGAAACTAAGCATTTTAGGGCATACATTTATATGAACTTTTTTACTTATTATTATCTGCAGAATATAATGTCGAAGTTTCCGGAATACAGTTCGGACCACCCAGTATATATATCTTTATGAAACTTCATACATATTATCTTCTATGCATCAAAATACCTTTTCTGGTGTACAAAGAATTTTATTTGCCATATCAGTGCCGTCCATACGGGTTTTATATTGCATATTTTTGGAGAAATTAAAAAAACTTAAAAAAAATAAAGTCAGTTTCCTTCACGCTCAAATTGCTGAAAATCTAATGCGATGGCTGTTGTGTGGAAATAATTTCTGCATCAGCTGAAAGGAAATTAAGAAATAAAATATTTTTTTTTGTATATCAAAAGAAGCATTTTAATGCGTGGAAGACGTGTATCAAATATAACAGAAATATTTTGGAAAAAAAATAGAAAATTTTATCACCCTGTATCTCAAAAGTTAGGATGTTTAGGATTCATATGAAGTTTTTTTCTTAGAATAGGCTCAAGAATCACCTCCTCAAATATTAGCATGTCATTAAGGTACACCCTGTATAATAAATATTTTAAAAAACATATTATAATATATCTATGTCACTTATATCATTTGTTACATAAAAAAGTGGTTCGAAGAATTGTACCTAAACATGAAGCTCTACATAAATACAGTACATGTTAAACAGCCTACACAGGTAACTCCAGACAATGCAAATATATACCATACATATATCGACAAGTTCTTTTAACGTAAACTCCCACTAGAACGCTTACAAATTATGCTCATTTGGTAACTTTGCATATAAGTTTTGAATAACTGCCTCTGAGCATATTTTAACAGCACAAACTAGCAATAAAACACTACGAATTACAGCGCATTTCTCTTTGTTTGCTTTGGTATATTTCTTGCTGTTTTAATAGAATATGATTTAGTACCCAACCGTCTTCTTACAACGATATATATTCACGATATACAGACAAACATGGAATGAAAACAATGCTATTAAATCAACTTTATCTTAATAAGAAAGTGTTGATGCGCTAGTCGTCTGTATATTTAATTTAGTTGTATTCTAAATTTTGATTCAGTGGATGTACAAATTATCTCGTTAATTTAAATATAGGCGGGTATATAAAATTAAGTGTGTTATTGTGATTTTAAGTTTGTGATTACGTGAAGCTCATCCGCAGAAGACAAGATAGAGTGATCAGAAAATACTGATAGTAGTTGTTAAGAGCTACAGACCAAAAACAATAAATCTCAAAAGAAAGAAGGATCAACCATCAACAAAGAGATCATCATTGTCTCCTGTAGTTGTCAACATTTACATGAAGTGGCATTAGCCTTAACTCAGCAAATAAACCAAACTTTGGATTACTATATACTCATGACCCATTCATAATTTGGAATGAAAAAAGAATGGAGATAAATACAAAATTAGAAAATATTTTTACGATCACGTAAAGACAAAATCAAATGTTGAGAATACTAAGTAATGGTATTGATAAAATTCCATGTGAGTGCGGAGTAACTTATCTTGTCGAGACCAAGAGAGCCTCACCACTACGAGACAATGTGTTTGGTTTGGTGTATACGAAGGGATCAAAAAACGAAAAAGGAACCGGCTGCGGCACTGGAATTTATTCCAGCAGTCCAAAGTCTGAGACCTGCCCGTCTTGGGAAACTCACCACAATTTTCGAAGCTAAGTTATATGCTGTTGGCGAGGTGTGCACCTGCTGGTTGTCACACGTATACGCCGGGAAAGCAACATATTTTCGGATAGTCAAATTGCGTTGAAAGCGCTTGAGGCAATAAAAAGCAGGTCTATGAGATTCTTCATTGAAACTTCTCAATTTATTAGATGTCGCCAAAACAGGTGCTGATTCGCCATTTGTGAGTCCAGAACCGACGCATAGCGTTCGAAAAAATCTCGCAAGAGACTGGCTCTGGAAAATGGGTTAGGGGTATGACGTTTCGGGACTGGAATGACAGTCCCGGAATGGAACATACTAAGAAAATCTTGATAGGGCCATAATAACGCAGAATAGGAGAACTCTTAAAAGGTCGGCAGAAATGTACGCCCACTGCAGGCTAAGATCACACCTGCAGAGGATGGGACTGCCGAATGCCGACTCTGTATGGAAGATCATAAAACCCTAAAGCACTTTTTGTGTACCTGCCCCGCTGGGAGCAGGACCAGGTTTGAGGTGTTGGGCAAAACAATGCTATCAGACCTAGGAGACTCGGGCATAACAGCCTATGTTAAAAGGTTGGGTCTTGAGGGTGAACTCTAATACTCTTTTTCTTTTAAAGAGTTTGCCAAAGGAAGGAAGGATTTTGTATAAGTCGCATCAGCTGCTGAGCCATTTAGCGGCATTGGTCAAATTAAAGTTAAATTAAACTATATTAATGAACCCAAACCAGATGCCCTAGTAAATTGGAACAAAGACTGTAGATTATTAGCTTCAAATACGGAAGCCAGATCTCCATTCAGACCAAATGATTGTCTTAAGTTAATGAAGGACGGACATTCTATTAGGAGGTGGTACACTGTTAATTGGTTGCCAGAAAAAGAGCAGTTCGGCAGGGGGTCGCTTTTCAAAAGGAAATAATTAGAGAAATAACAGTGGCCCAATCTGAGCCGATTCCAAATGACTTCTTCATTTCTGGATAATGACCGAGCCACAGAAGCTTGGAAGAATTGTGGTTTACATTTATATAGTTTATTTGCATCTCCTGTTATTTCCCACTCTGCCTGAATACCACTTTTTATTGTGGACATATGTAGAAATGAGTTTGCAGAACAGAGTGCCACAATGGGCACTCGCGGCTGCAGTGGAGGGTCTCACTGGAACCCACTTTTAGTCCCTTATAATAGATATATATGAATTCCTTGACACTCTCAATATAATAATGAGTGCATTTTTGCATTAATAAACATTGATTCGGTATTGTTTTGTATTTGTTTATGCTTAAATCTAGTCATGCAACTAAGTTTCAGAAAAAAATCACTTTAACGTTCCAAACTTGTCTCTTTTCTTGATGTTAATCATCATCGTTATCGTGATCGCGTCATGTTTGCGGAGTTCCGCGCTTTACCGCGACGTGTTTTACATTTGTATACACAAACTCTAATCCATTTAAATGCAAATGGGTGTAGTAAGCGTGGCTCGACCGCGACCGACAAACCCTTTCTTACCTGGTGTAATAAATGCAGAGCAGCACGGTGGCCAGGATGGCGGACAAGGCGAAGCCTTTGGGGCTGGGCCGGCGGCATATCCGATTGCGATTGAGCACGGTCATGGCGGTGGCGGAGCGGACCTCTTATTTTATCGGCGGCATGGCGGCTGGCCTCGGCTCGGGAACATTTCGGCCGCCGAAGACGGTGCGAGGCGGGAGAATCCTATCGATCCGACGACGGATTGCGGGAGGAAAACTTCGGATCCATCACCTGAAAACCAGAATAAATAATGGTGTTATTTTTCTATGATCGGAATTCATGCTTAATAGGGTTCAGAACCGGGAAATCCCGATAGCCCTAACCTAACCATACCAAATCTCGTTTTTTATCTAAAAAAAAAAATAAAAAAGTTATAGGGGTGAGCCCCTTTTGAGACGAGCGGTAAGTCGCTCAAATCAAAATTAACCGAGATAGGGTGGCTAGTAGAATTCAGAACCGGGAAATCTTTTTCCGGTTCCGAATGAAAAATTCCCGGTTCTTTCGAAACATTAGAGAACCGGAACTCGGAATTATTAATTCCCGGTTCTTTAGGTATGCTATCTCTTACTGTTCTTACTTCTGAAGATATTTTGAAGTTTCTTATATGTTTATCAGCAATGTTTATCAGCAATTATTGAAGTTTAAATATGTTATTTTATTATTTAGTACCTATAATATTGCTAAACGACTTAGTTATATTTTTTTGGGTTATGTTTTTATAGGTACTTGCATCTCTAACTGAAAATGTTAATTTTTTTTCAAATTTAGTTTAATTGGTTTCGAGGTTTGTTTCGATGTTTGATGTAATTTTTAAGCTATATCTATGTGTCTTCGTTTTTTCGTCGCTTGTGTTCATTTGTGTTCATGTTTACTTTCTCATGACTTAATAATTTAATATTATTTTCATTTGAAACACAATTTTTTATCGGTTTTACTTTTGAGAAACCATTCTTTGCTTGCTGATTGACAAACTCCACGATCATTTAAAGAAAATATTTTAGTACGATTCCGATAACTCTAATTAATATACCAATTAGGGTTCAGATCTTTTTGGCTATCACAGAATCGCGTCTCGAAATTAGGTCCCGGTTCGTTCGGTACTTGGTAACAATAATTAAAAAATTATTTTTTTGTTAATTTGTCAAAATCAAACTCTTCTAAATAAGTAATGATGATATTTCTTATTGTTCTTGCTTCTTTTCTCTTATTTATTATGTTATGTTTTAATAGATATTTGCATTTTTAATTCAATATTTTAGGGCTTTTGTCTCAAATTCAGTTAAATGTTATTTGATGTGAAATTTAAGTTACCTATGCTTTTTTCTTAGCTTTTGTTCATTTTTGTGATCATGTTAATTTTCTCATGACTGATTAAGTAATAATTTGATATTATTTTCATTAAAAAGCTCAATTTTTTATCCATTTTACTTTGAAAAAACACCCCTTGCTGTCTGACTGATGAACTGCACCATCATTGAACAAAAATTAACCAGGGCCGAAAGTACCGAAAAAAAACGGGAAATCCCGGTAGGTTCTCCCGTAGAGGTTCGATAAGAAGGGATTTTTCGAAATTCCAGTTCCAAGAGAGTGAAACCACCCCTCAAATATTACAATATTTTTTATTTAAAAAAACGGTCAAGTTTCCGTAAAAACGCTTAAACACGTATATTTTATTTTGTTTTTTTACACATTTTAAGATTTTTTAAAAATGTATACAGGGTGTTTCGAAAAATCTGGTCATAGATTAATCACGATCCTGCTTAAAGCGCTTAACTTAAAAAGCTGATTTTTGGAAAACAGATTGAGTTTAGGGTGTAGAAGTTCGATAAGAAGGGATTTTTCGAAACTCGAATTCTAAGGGGGTGAAACTATCCCTCAAATATTAAAATATTTCTTATTTGAAAACCGGTGAGTTTTTCGGAAAAACTCTTAAACACGTATATTTTATTTTGTTGTTTTACATATTTTAAGATTTTTTCAAAATTTATACAGGGTGTTTCATAAAATATGATCATTGAGTAATCACGATTCTGCTTCAACTGCTTGACGTTTAAAGCTGACTTTTGGCAAACGGATTGACTGTGGGGTGTAGAGGTTCGATAAGGAGGGGTTTCTCGAATCTCAAATTCCAAGAGGGTATGAAAACGCTCCTCAAATATTTCAATATTTGTTATTTAAAAAACGGGTAGTCTTTCGGGAAAACGTTTGGACAAGCATAATTTATTTGGTTTTTTTACATATTTTGAAATTTTTTAAAAAATCATACAGGGTGTTCCAAAAAGTTGGGTAATTTCTTAACCACGATTCTGCTTAAACTGCTTGACGTAAAAAGCTTATATTTGGCAAACGGATTTTTCGGAAGTCAAATTCCAACGAGATGAAACTACCCCTCAAATATTACCAAGTTATATATAATAATATCGCCATATTGTTTTTTCTTATGCTGACATAAATGTGAGAAAATTGTATCCAGTTTGTATGTTAATGGAAATTCTTGCTTTGCTTTATCATCACAATTGCAAATGATCAATTCGACGCGAACGAAGTCGCTGGTACACGCTAGTATTCGTATAGATTTGTAACCACGAAGTTGCACGCATCTGACAAGTTTAGTATGGACAAATCGCCATTTGTCTAATTATTTCGGACATAGGCCAAATTCGGCATCTGCCTCCAACATATACAATCACCTATAATATAAATAAAATATGGTCGAAAATAAACAGCTTCAGCGATGGCGATGAAATGAAGATCGCTGTCATTTTATATGTAAAATTATATAGAGAATGTCGATTCATAAACATCGATTTATTTCCAAGCCAACTGGACGTCGTTTCTTGTATTGAAACTATCCAAAAATACTGATACAATAATTATGTAAAAAACAAAATAAAAAGTAATAAACAACATTCTAATTTTGAAATAAACTATATAGATATTTCAAAATTATAAAGTTGAAAATTGAATGATGAATAATTGAACAAAAAAAAATTGTTTATTAAAATATTTATTTATAAAATATTATTTAATAGTGCCAAATGTAAATGTCTAAAATTTTATATACTGTCTTTTTTACTATATGAGAGATATAGAAAATGGCAACATAAGCAACAACCCATATTTTATTATAAAATAACTTTTTCCTTCATTTATTATAAACAAAAAATTGTTTTTGTCAAAAATTATAATAGAGTCAATGACGTTTTTATTTCAGTACGAGAAATACAGTATTTTTTATTAATTAATATTTCATATATTGACGTTATAATACCATCATTTAATACTTAGAAAAAAATTCCTAATCGTATGATGTCAAAACCAGATAGCCATTGTGAGCAATGAAAATTGAAAATAAATAAATACAAAAGAACCATTTGTGAACATCCAATTAGTGGAAGAAGATATATTTTAATTAATAAAAATACAGAGAGAGAGAGCAATCAACAATAATTGAAATAGTTGGCTATTCTGACTTTCTTCGTTTGGTTGGCAATAAATTTAAGAAATTCCATTTTTTATCGTAATATACTGTGGTCCGAACTGTATTCCGGAAACTTTGGCATTTCTTACTTATTTTCAAATAAAAATAAGTAAAACAGTTCGTATAAATGTAGGTATATACTAAAATGCTTAGTTTCTGAGATACAGGGTGTAGAAGTTTCATTTATATTTCGATTTCGATATCTGAAATAACGTCAACATTTGAATGAAAATTGGTGTCTGGTAGTTTTTTTGACATGAGAAATTTGATTTTGATATCAAAATGACTCCTACTTGTGGCGCCACCAATATGTAGGTGGCGCCACAAGTAGGTTATGTGATATTAGTAAGTAGTTATCATTTCAGGCAAATAACTATCTACTCAACATGTTTGTTTTGTCAATAATGACATGTATTGAATATTTTTACTCCAAATATCTTGAGAACGGTTGCTCGTAGCGATTTTCACTAAGACATTATTTACGTAAAAAGTCACGAAAATATATATTTTTCACTCAGAAAACAGTTAAAACACTTTGAATAAGAAGACTAAGGAAGGAGCATATCAAAAATCTTAGGTACACCGCGATGGGCCTCAAATATGGCCGACTTAAATTCCGGTTTATCAGTGTCGTTCTAATTTTATTTAAAAAATGTAAAACTATGATGTAGGGTAGACGTGGGGTAGACTCAATAATTTGTTGTTTTATTTTACGTTGTGAATAAGTGTTGGTAGTTCGTATAAATGTCTAAAAATGCATAATTCTGGAAATGCAGATAAGTGGAAGTTTCATATTTATTAACGCGATTTTTCCAAATACGCTTACTGAAGCACGTCAATATTAACGTATCTAAATTCATTTGACATGGAAGTCTTTGGACATGAAATTTGATTTTGATGTCAATATGACTCCTACTTGTAGAGGGCGCCACCTACATTTTTAACTGCTTTAAACAGTAATAACTTTTCATCCGTACCTGTATAAAAAACTACTGAGTAAAAAAATGTAGATTTACGTGAATTTCATAAATGATCGGTTTACTACACGTATGTTTACGTAAATAGTCACTCTTGCGAAAAATCGCTACTATTAAAGATTTTCAAGATATTTGGAATCTAAATTATCAGTACGCTGTCAGCGTGCATTAGACATAAAATTAAACATGTTGACTAAATTAGTCTATTAGACTGAAATCATTCGATCTGATCAACTGTTTTAGTGCCAAAAGTTCAACATAATACTGTTTTATCATTTTTTAGAAAAGAAACAATTTCCATGATTAATTTAAAACCTTTATAAACCATCAGTAGTAAAATTTATCATAAACAAAATAGGCAAAATAACTGATTTACTCAACATGTTTCAAATTCAAATGTGTCAAATAATGACAAACAGAACTGAATATTTCTACCATAAAGATCTTTTATGGTGGCTTTTCTCGCTTGACCATTTTCACTAATACATGGGATTAGCGTTAAAGTCACGAAAATATAGTTTTCACTCAGAAAACAGTTAAAACACATGTAGGTGGTGCCCCCTACAAGCATATTGATGTGTCAATATCTGTTGTCAAAAAATCAATATCTCTTGTCAAAAAACTTCCAGACACCAATTTTCATCCAAATATTGACGTTACTTCAGAGATTATTTGGAAAAAAACGAAATAAAAATGAAAATTCCAGACACCAATTTTCATCCAAATATTGACGTTACTTTATACGAATTTTTTTACTTATTTTAAAGAAATAA